ATTGTGACGACTTATTTGTGCAACCGTAATCTCATTTTTTCACGGTGAAACGTTACAGTTTAACTGATTTCATGAATATAAAAGTTACATTTTGAATTCTCGAACTAAATAAATTTATTAGTTACCATTTTGAGGTGAAAATATTTTATGTGCGATTGCAGTCTCATTTTCTCATTGTAAACAATGCATTTTATCCGATTTTGTAAGAATGGACTATACAAGTTGAAACGTATAATTTCCCGAGTGCGCGAAATGTAGTACGAACGTGGATAAACAACGTAAATAGCGGAAGCATTAAACCGAAGATTTTAAAACTCTTCAGGGAAGCGTCCCACTTCCCCTCAGAGCTCTTTCATTGATAAATCGTTCACACTTGTATAGTTTGGACTTACACGACTCGAACTCCCTTCTAGTCTAGCTACAACTACACACGATCCTATCAACTACTTCTCCGGCCACGTCCCGTGGACTTTACACACTCGAATTCCTCGAGCAAAACTCAGTACTTAATCCCTAAGCACTAAAACAAAGTGTTTGTAAAAGAGAAGAAACAAAACGAGTTCAGTTCTTCAGCACTGTAAGAACGCTGAAAAACTGGACCGAATAAAATAAAAATAATAGAAACTCTCAAACACTCAATTGAAGCTGATGAATGATGAACTTGATTTGCAGCAGCTTTCTTGTATTCAATTGATTGCTTGAGTAGGCTTATATACAACCTCCTTAAGGTAAGGAGTTTTCACAGTTCTTCATTTACCTTTTAGGAGTTAATTTCCTTCTCAATTGATTCCTTTCTGATTTGGACAAAATCCTCCATGTAAGGTAAGTTTCCTTGATGTAGAAATCATGTATGTGATTTGGAGATCTTCAGAATTGAGCTTCCAATGGAAAAACGCGTTCCAAGAATCTGGTAAGAACATGACATTCCAAAAATAGCCGATCTTCCAAATCTTCAAAGATCTTGTGGTGAATCTTTCCAAATCCTCCTTAGATCTTCTCATGAACGTCCAGAACTCTTCTTGTATGGAAAATTCATCCTTTCATAGTCCTTGCCACCTATTCCTTGTCCTACAAGAAAGAGAGAACCAATTATGGTATCTGACATATATGGTAAGTGAATATATAAGATATATATTATGTAATCTTCCTCCTTTCCTTTCTTTATTCTCATCTGATTTCCTAACATATAAAAAATACCATAATAAGACCAACACAATCTTATATATGGAATATAATATAAACTTAAGTAAGAAAATAAAATATTCAAAGATCTTCCCTTTTTCTGTGGTTCCAGGTGTTTGTTCGAACCAACGACTAATGCCAAACAAAAATATCTTTCACAAGTTATTATTTAAAGTGTTAAATTAAAAAATGAAATTATTTGTGAAAAAAAGGATTTCTACATTAAGTTACATAAATGAGCCCAGTGTAAAAGATAAAATTACGTTGTGTTATTGTACTTACGATAAATAATTTTTTTCAACTTGAACTATACGAGCTTTTGAGATTTTCAACCTAAAGTATTTTTTGTTGTAAAATGCAATCTGAACTACATATATACAATTATTTGCATCCTCGACTATTTTTGACAGTTCGATCATCTGCAAAAAAGGACATATATATGGTCAAGATGTGGTCGAACGTACAAATAGTGACTGTATATGTAGTTAAGATTGCATTTTACCAAAAAAAAAAATTGGTTGAATTTTTTTTTTTTTAAAAAAAAGAAAAGCAAAAGAAAAGTAAACTTTGTGTACGCCTCGTTTTTTTTTTTTTGGATAATAAATTAATGCGTAGTACATAGTGGGGAAACATGAAATAGCACACAAAAAGACACGCCCACACACAGTGGCCCACACGCACCTCTGTCACAACCAAACCAATATTTTGAAACTCTGGCAAACCCAACACCCATTGAAGAAGTTCAACTTTACGTTTCACATCTTCGCATGATTTAACAAATCAAAATCGGCACTTTTTCTAATTTTGTTCGATATTCATATTCCTTGCTTCTCCACAACTTTTACTTCAATCTAACATTACTTCTTTATCAGACATTCAATTCGAACTGGTGGTAAATAGTTCTTCTGTCATTAGGATACAGAAGTGTTCAAATTTCTTGCCAACCCTTGTCTGAATCCTTAAAAAGTTTGCTGCTTTTAGCTTCAAGAAGAAAAAAGTAGCTAGTTTCAAGTGATGGGATTTTGATGGTGGCTGCAGCTGAGCAAAAAATAAATAAAACAAGTACTGTTTTGAAAATTGGAGAAAAAGGGGATTGATTTTCCTTCGTGTGTGGTGTTGAAAAGATTTTATGGGCTTTGACGCAATGTTTTGTTGTGTGAAGGGTTCAGATCGGTATGTTATTTTGCTTTGATGTTTGGTCAAAATGCTAATTTTTGTTGGTTTGGTATTCAGATTTTATGAGGTAGTTTCTTTTTTGTTATGGCTGTGTTTCTCTATCATCAAAGCTAGGTCGAAATGGATATGGAGTTTGTTATGTATGTTTTCTGTTGAAGATGATGGATAAGAGTGGAAGTTTTTTGAACTTTCAACAGGAAAAAACAAGGGAAAAAGGAGACAACTTGGAGGATTTTCTCTCTGAAAGAACTGCAATTGGCTACAAATAATTTCAACTATGATAACAAGCTTGGAGAAGGTGGGTTTGGCAGTGTTTATTGGGGCCAGCTCTGGGATGGTTCTCAAGTAAGATGATCCAATCTCTCTCGCTTTTTGAAAGGAAATCGATAAGTTTCTGTCCTGCGATATTGAATTGTCTTGTTTTACCGAATTCTAAGCAATTTTCTGTGTTAGATATGAACACGGTATTAATTGGTGTTGTGAAGTGGTACTGCTTTAGTGAATGTGATGTGTTGAACTTGTAATGACGCGGTTCTAAGCCTGTGAGGGGATATGAATCTGACTGGTGGTGGCTAATAGTTTGGACCTCCATTGATTGATTTTTAACTTTTAAATTAGTAATGATTATTGATCAGTGTAGCGGTTTGGATGATTATCTCTCGACCCACAAAATTCCGTAAAGGGAGCTTTGGTTTTTTGTCTTCTGTTTTGCATCTTTGTTTGAAGATAGTAAAAAAGAACAATAATTACAAAAATGATCTATGCTTGTTTTATGTTTCTATTATAGTATCATTGTGCTGTTCTGACCTGCACAGTAAAATTTTGTTAGAAGGAGATCAAGTTCGATATAATGGAGTAGTTAAAACTTTTACTCTTATTTGTTGGTCAACTATGGGGCTTATCAATTTTGAAGCTTTTTTACATGACATTCATGAATTCAGCTAGGTAGCTACGCATTTGTTTACTATGTCCGATTAACTTTGTTAATAATTTGTTCTAAAAAGAAAAATGATCACTTATCCTATCCCTTCTCATTTAGGTTCTTTAAAACTTTTAAATTTCTTTTCCATCTCCTTGCCCGGCAAGATGGGTTCATTTCCATTACTCAATTTTTTTTCTTACTCACACTTCAACAGATAGCAGTGAAAAGGCTAAAGTCATGGAGTAACAAAGCAGAGGTGGAGTTTTCTGTTGAAGTCGAGATTCTTGCTCGTGTGCGGCACAAGAATCTACTAACTTTACGTGGCTGTTGTTCGGAAGGTCAAGAACGTCTTATTGTCTATGATTATATGACTAATTTGAGCTTAACATCTCATCTTCACGGGCAGCATTCGGCTGAGTGTCATCTCGACTGGGCCAGGAGGATGGAAATTGCTATTGGGGCTGCCGAGGGCATTGCGTAAGTTCTTCGTATACCATTAATTACAAAAATTGTCTTGCAGTTTAGTTTATTATAGGAAAGTGCAGTAAATGTTTCATAGTAATTATATCATAAATTACACAGTCCCTGTATTATTAGGTGGCATAGGTGCTACTTAAGTAGAAATGTTATTTTAGGAGGTAAATAAAAAAAAAAAAAGTTGTTCCTTCTCAGCTACCTACACCACCATGCAACCCCTCACATCATCCACCGGGACATCAAGGCCAGCAACATCCTCCTCGACTCTGATTTCAAAGCCCAAGTGGCCGATTTTGGGTTCGCACGTCTCGTCCCCGACGGCGCAACCCACGTGACCACCAATATCAAAGGCACCCTCGGCTACCTCGCTCCCGAGTACGCCATGCTTGGCAAGGCCTCCGAGGCTTGCGATGTCTACAGTTTCGGAATCCTCTTGCTCGAGCTTGCTACGGGCCGCAAGCCCCTAGAGAAGATGGGCCCTTCTCACAGACGGCCCATCACCGAATGGGTCCTGCCGTTGGCCCGCGAGAGAAAGTTCGACGAGCTGGCGGACCCAAAGCTGAGTGGGAAGTATTCGGAGGAAGAACTGAAGCGGGTTGTTTTGATTGGGCTCGTGTGCGCCCACAGCCAGCCCGAGAAGAGGCCCATAATGCTCGAGGTGGTCGAGCTTTTGAGAGGGGATAATAAGGAGAGGTTCCGTGTTTTGGAAAGTCATGAGATGTTTGAGCGAGGCGGGGAATCTGTGGAGGATAATGGTGTGAAGGAGCCAAAGGAAGAAGAAGAGCAAGAAAAGCAAGAAATTGCTGTGTGAGATTATTGTAGCCATTTGTGAAAAATATGATTTATTTTTATTTTCTAACTTTTTATATTTTCTGGTTGGTTGATTGTTGTTTGTTTGCATTGGTGTATGAAGTTATTTTGATGTGATTATTGTGTGTTTTTGTTGTTTCTTCCAGAGTTGTGTTTTTTTGTTGAGTTTTGGGATTTTTAATTTTTTAGGCATTGTTTGTTTGTTTATCCAAGAATTTTTATTTTCCAGTTTCCATAATAATAAAATTAAAGTTGGAATTGGGTTTGTTTATAATTTTTTGTTGGAAATATCATTTTTAATTTTATTTTCTTATTATGTATTTTTTAACTTCTTTTGAGGGAATATCATTTCCTGGACGACTCACACAAATTGAATTGCTGATATATAAATGGAAATCTGAAAGACTATTCCAACAATTGAATTTAGAATTAAGAACTGAATGCATAAGATCTTATTCTCAAAAAGATTTATTAACCAAAAGTCACCTTTGAAGTCCGCTTATGGGCGATTGATCAGTCACATCGAGTTCCACAATAGGCCAACGCTCGACTGAGCCCGACTGCTTTCAAATTCAGCCAATTTCGAACTACTAAGACTCAATTTTCTTTTAATGTTATAATTTATCTCATTTATTACTTGAATTAATTTTTCATCCTCCCTAAAACCATTCTATTGGAATTTGTAACCGTTAAATCATCATCATGTAACTGTCGTGAGTAGTTGATTTACCGGTTACAAACTACGACGGAATTACCGTTACTAGAATCTTCCAAAATATAAATTAGAAAACATGAATGCTGCCAAACATTCCCTCGAGACAAAACATAAACAACGGTCAACTTTTTCAAATACATACACAATAGAACCTCCACCCCTTTTTCTTCTTCTTCTTCTTCTTCTTCCTCTCATATAATAAATCTAAAAAATTTATGCAGCAAAACTAGAAGAAGTAAAGATTCAATGGTGAAATTTTTGCCGAAAACGACAATCAACAGTAAACCCAGCAGCATTTTCGCTCCATTTTCTCTCCACAGCAAGAAGCTTCAATACCAAAAGCTCCCACAACATCTCGTTAACCTCTCTGTTCTAAAATTGGATGGCTCTTGTTTCAGTAAATACGAACATGTTTCATTTTCCTCTTTCTTTTTCTCCCAGATTCGAGTGTATTTTCTGTATCTCCTTTTGTTGTATTGTATATAAGGTATTGTGGTCGAGAATACTTGAGATGTTGTCTGAATTTGCAGGTGTTCACGTAGCCAGAAGTGCCACCGTGTCTATGCTGAAATCAGCTGTTGAGGAGGAATTTTGTGTTTCAAGACAAAAAATTATGGTATGGCAGCGAAAAGATCCTGTTTTTTTAGATCGAACTTACTAGAGATATAAGGAATTGCAGCTAGTTATACTTGCTAAGGTTATCGAGTTCGGATTTACAGAGATGCGTGTGTGTGTGTGCGTGTGGTTGATCCATCTCATGTTGAATTGCTATCAAGAATTTCAGCTTTGTGTGTGTCACTCGAATATGGGGAAAAAGGGAATGAAAGATTGTATTTTGTTTAGGATAGTATCTTGAAAATGTTGTGTCCCAATAGAATGAGTGCCACCAGTATCGAAATTTACGAACTTTCGGAATTATTCATACTAACCGTAGGGAATATAAATGTCGATAAAGTTTCAAGAAAGTATCTGTTGTTGACAGGTCCGTCGTGTGGAGCCACTTTTGTTTGTGTCACAAAGGTCGAAAGATCATTAGCGACCGAGCTTGCATTCAAAAGTATGGCATCAAAGATGGTGATCAGGTCTATATCTCTACTTCTCGTGCTGTAATTTAGTCCCAGTGATGAGAAAAAAATTGTTGATATATTGTTTACTGTTTCATTCGATATGTGTATGCTTCGTAATGAGTTATGGTCCATTGTTCTTCGAACTACAGGTGATATAATAACAATAATTCATTTGGTTTTTGCAGCTTTATTTCATACAGAATATGAGAATCGATCGTGCTCCAACGACTCCAAAGCAGTCCAAGAACAAACGTGCTGTGTTCAAACGTGCACAAGTGTAAGTAAGCACATTTGAGATCTAATGCAACAATTTCTACAAGGGTGACTAACTAAATTGGAAAAGACATGATTTTATCAACACTTGCACACTTTTAATGTTACTAAACTTCCCAAGTTCTGGCCAATTTATTTCATATAGTAATATATCTGGACATCCACAAGTGTTGTATCGGTTTTGCTTAAAGAACTGATTTTTTTTTTTTTTTTT